TTTGTTCGAAATATTTAAATTGTTTGAAAATATTGAGATTTGTTTGCATATTTGAATTGCTAAAATATTATAATACTTATATTAAATAAAATATTATAATATTTATATTAATATAGCTCATATTAATATATTATTATTATTATTATTATTATTATTTTATTATATATTATAATTTAGACGATTTAATTATTTAAAATATGATAAATTTTTATAATAAATAATTATTTTTAAGATATCCTAAATTTTTTATATATAATTATTTTAAATTATTTTATATTTCGAACAATAACGAATCGAACACGAACGAACATATCACTGTTCGTGTTTAGTTCGTTTAACAAACCAAACGAAAAAGAATTGTTCGTATGCTTATCGAACGAATCGAACACGAACTCCCTCGTGAACCGAACACAAACTGCTCGCGAACAATGAGCTTTTTTGACAGCCCTAGTTGCAAGAGCAGCAAACAGTTGAGATTCTTCTAAAGAGCATCCACGGTTCAGTGGGTTTCTTACTTAAAGGTTTTACAATCAGAGCATTCGAGAAGTTGCTTAACAAAGCCAGGAATCTCCAAGGAGAAGCAGAGCAATTTGGTTTTCCGAAAAGGGCTGAGGAGCTAGAACCAATGAAGATATTTAAGAAGAAACCTGAGACAGTTGCTGTGGTTGGCAAAGGAAAGCGGCAAAGGAAAGCGACAATTACAAATACAAGCCGAACGTCAATGGACCTTCCAACCTCCTCGTCAGAATATTCAGCAATCATCTCAACAGAGACCTTACCGGACAAATGAAAAACGAGTTCCAACCATGAACGCTCGATCAAACAGGATATACTCTTTTAAAGATGAAGCAACGAAAAAGATGTTCCGCAATTTGATCAAGAATCCCGAGTTCAGGTTATCCAAGCCAAAGAAACCAGTCGAGGTCAATAAGAAAAGACATCCGAGATATAGCCCTTACCACAGGTTCATTGGACACACCATATAGGAGTGCTGCAGTTTCAAATACTTGCTTGAGGAGAGTTTCAAGAGTTGGAATATAACGATCCCAAAAGAATATTTGAAAAGAACTTGAAAGAGGTTCTATCGATATGATTTCGATCGATCTATTTGTTCCAACTTATTCATGCACAAGTGGCAACAGATGAGAGGCCTCTTAACTATACTACTATTGTTGTTTAAAGGGGATATTAGCAGGATCGATGTTAGTATGTCTCATCCCTCCCACCGCAACAAATTAAAGAAAGGATAGAGTTTGTTGTCGCCCTGAATTAATCAATACTTAGAAAGTTTATCATCCCAAAAGAAAAAAAATTGGATATTCTGATATGAATATGATTTCAGGAAAAAGATTAAATTAATGTCCTAATAACTGGTCCTTCAATTTAAATAATTCAGACTAGGTCCTAAGTTGATTTCAAAATAAGACTGTGTTTGAAATACGAGTAATTGACTCAGGATATCACGAGCATTTTAATTTCCTGCCACGTGAATGAGTCCCGACTTTTGAATGAGTTATACTATCTCATAATTTGCCTTAAGAAATATTTGAGAATTATTAGTCAGAGGAGTTTAGACATTCAAAATTCTTAAAAGAAAAATGTTCAAGTAGATATAGTAATGCGAAAAAAAAGGGAGTAAAAAAACAAAATAAAAGAAGAGTTTCACTGAGAAGAAGCTTGAGGTGGACGTATAATCAAAAATTGGTGTTTCAATTCTCCTCTGATTAATAAAATTTCAAAACTCTCTTAAGAAAACTCTTTTGATATTATATTCAAGAAAAAGTTCAACGATCTTGGTCTTTTGGTTGGCTATTAATTGACTTCGAAATATTTTTAGACAATGAAAATTGTTTTAATCACATGAGCAGAAATTCTGAAATCTGCTTAGGCCCGAGAAGAAAGAATTAAAGAAATGACAATAATATTAACAATTAATGGAAATTCAACCCTGAAGTCATATCCTTCAACGACTAGCAAATACAACTCCAACGACAATTCGAAGAATGTCAGAGTGATTTCTCAAAGACAACTTGAACAACATTTACAAAATCAATGTTAAAGCAAAAGAGAACTACTACAAATGAGCTACAAAGTTGTGACCTCTTCAGTTGTGGTATCCTTAAAGATAACACATCTTTCTAGTGGATGATACTTCAAGAAGTACTGTGCCTTGTGATGTTTCAGAGACAAACTCGTTCTTAGAAGCTCAGATGTCACGCTTGTCTAAAACTGGGTCAAAATCCTAAAATAAATGTAACAAAATAAAACTCAGCATCAAATAAAAGAAGAGTCAACATTGAAACAAAACTCTGCATCTCATAAATTTTTTTATAAATCTTTGCACAGACATTTCAATAAAATTTTACATTTTCCGTACTCAGCAATATTCTCCACAATCTCTGCATTTGCAAATCTCGACAAAATTTTCATAATCTCTGCATAAACTAAATCTAAGCAAATCTTTGTTTTCACAGAATATCAGTACTTAGCATTCGGGATGGGCGTCAGTCTTACTCCCTTCTCAGCAATCTCAGTACTCGGGGGTTGTACCTAAATTCTGGTTCTCATGATATTTTAGAGGATGAGGATTTCGACATCCAATTTCGCATTGCTTTGTAACACGATATTCTAAAGGTTGAGGATTTTACATCTGATTCCGCGTTGCTTTAGAAGCCCCTCAACACGATATTCTAAAGGTTGAGGATTTTACATCTGATTCCGCGTTATTTTAGGAGCCCCTCCTATCGCAATCTTTCAAATCAAATTCAAGAGGTTGAGGATTTTACATCTGATTTCGCGTTGCTTTAGAAGCCCCTCCTATCGCAATCTTTCAAATCAAATTTCAGGGTTGGTGCAAGGTCGTCCGACTCCTTTAAATTTAACGAAATTCCAGAAGTTAAGGATTTTACATCCGATCAGGGTCAGTGCAAGGTCGTTCGAGCCCTTTAAGTTTCCTATCGCAATCTTTCAAAATCAAATTCCAGAGGTTGAGGATTTTACATCCGATTCTGCGTTACTTTAGAAGTCCCTCCTATCGCAATCTTTCAAAACAAATTTTAGGGTCGATGCAAGGTCGTCTGATTCCTTTAAATTTCACGAAATTCTAGAGGTTGAGGATTTTACATCAGATCCCGCTTTGTTTTTGGAGCCCCTCCTATCGTAATCTTTCAAATTAAATTACAGGGTCAGTGCAAGGTCGTTTGATTCTTTTAAATTCCATGAAATTCTAAAGGTTGAGGAATTTACATTCGATTCTACATTGCTTTAGAGGCCCCTCCTATCGCAATCTTTCAAATCAAATTCCAGGGTCAGTGCAAGGTCGTCCGATTCCTTTAAATTCCACGAAATTTCAGAGATTGAGGATTTTACATTGGATTCCGCATTGCATTAGGAGTCATTCCTATCACAATCTTTCAAATCAAATTCTAAGATCGGTACAAGGTCATCTGATTCCTTTAAATTCCACGAAATTCCAGGGTTGGTGCAAGGTCGTCCGATTCCTCAAAATTCCGCAAATTTTCACGTCTTTCCTCAAAATCCAGATTCAAATTGAAATCAAAATTGAAATTAAAATCCAAAATTGAAGTCAAAATTAAAAGAAAACAAGCAAAGCAAATCGAATCCACATTTGAAATTTGAAAACTCAAATTCACAGCACCAAGTTAAAATTCACTTGCTAGTTCTCCAGCGAAAACGATTCTCACTTTATTCTACGTTTTGTTCTAAGTATGTTGGCTTAGACGCCTGTGTTGTTTCAGTTGATCTTTTCGGTCAACACCAATACGCGCGGTGTGCCTGTCCGACATACCACACCTCCTATTGGGGGTCCATTTGTTGATTTGTTGACCTCGTTTTTTAGTGAGGTCTAGTTTTCTTCTTAGGGTTTAGGGTTTAGCCTTACGGCTCTCTCTTTGACTATCTTAGAGCCTTAGAAATGGGACCCACCTTATTTTAAAAATTCAACATGCTTCTTTACTCAAAAAGTATTGTACTCAATTGCCTCTGCTTATGGTAAACCACTCAAAACAGACATTCCTACTTTTAATTTTTCACGTCTATCTGAAACCAGAGTACTTGTTGAAAGAGACATTAGTTCACCCGCCTCTGAGAAAATTTCGTTGAACACACATCATGGATATTGACAAAAGGTAGTAATTGAGCATTTTTCTTCATATTGTTCAAACTGTCATATGTTCGACCACTCCAGTTCTCAATGCCACCATTTACACCCTCAACTCAGACCAAAAAAGCACAGTGCTCCGCTAGAGGTAGCGATTTCATCTCCTCCTGATCAGCTCTAAGTTATTGACACTATTGATCATCAAAAGGATACCCCGAAAGATGACACTATTCTCGCAGGCAATATGACAATCATTTAGTCCCCAATTGTAGCTCTCCCGTCTTTGGAACCTCCTATCGTGGCGGAGAGGGTGATTCTTCATACCACACCTGCCCTAGGACCTATCACCAATAATATAAGTGACAATACTTCTACTGCTTCACTACCTTCTCATCAGATCAAGCAAGCTGTTAATGTTACTCAGGCTCATGTGGATCAAGATGTGCAACAGCCTACACCTGTCCGACAAACTTTGGAATCTACTAATCAAATGAGTCAATCATCGAATGAGAAATGACAGATCTACACATCCAAGAGGAAAAAGAAGAATAAGGTCTACCTGAGCTCAGAAATCAGATGGATGATACGTTGGTTACTATGGGAAATGGTCCTCACCTTAGCAATTTGTCAGTCGGCTCACTTCCGAGGACTAGAGGCAGAGGGAGAACTAAAGTGGGATGTCCCTAGCACTTTTGCTACCTTTTATGTTTTTTTGATTTTTTACTTTTTATGTATTTTTGCTTTATTTGGGTTTTGTGTATGTTAAATTGTGTGAGTTGGGCTTTATTTTAGGCACCTTTTTGTATCTTTTAGATAGATAGATAGATAGATAGATAGATAGATATAAATTTAGGATATAATTAGCATGCCAGCGAGAAACCTTTAAAATATTTATCCTGCCTCCCAGAGAAAATACTGAAGAACGATTCTTTATTGTTTCTCTTGCTCTTAGAAAAATTCCTGTACTTTTGGTATCAACTCCAATCAAATCAGTTGACGATGCTATCTCCAGCTGCATTTTCTCCATTGCTTGTATGTATACACGGAAATGTGCACTTAAAACCTGAGGGGAAAAAAAAACGAATGACCAAGGAATAAAATAAGGATTGACTAATAAACAATGAATAACTTGGAGAGCATGTAAATTGACATCAACCAATTATGTGCCAATAAAAGAATGAATGAAAATGTACTAGAAATTAAGTGTTGTAACATATTAGAAATTACAACACTGCTTGAAAAGAGTTTAGCTTTCTTCACAACATTAAATGCGGCAAGCAACAGGTTTAACATGGTTTGCATGCACTCAAGGCTTAAAAATCAAAGATACCATATCCGTTTGTAAATAAAACCTGTAGGCTTTAGAACATTTTACCTTGTTCATTGTATCAATGTAAGCTGCACGAACCTCTGTATGAATATCCTTGTCGCGTTCCTTAAGGAAAACAATCACATACCTACATTTTAGCAGCAGTATCATTTAGTAGAGAAAAAAATTGTTCAAATAAAAAACAAATAAGAAAACAAACCAAAAAAAATATCTAGTCAATGTCAAATAATTCATAAGTTTTTCAAGCTATTTTTGTTAGTCTCAATCATAAAAATTTACCAATAATTCAAATGGAAAATGAAAGATGCAAAAATTACAAGGACTACTCGCGATGGGGAAAATAATATTGTTAATATGTGGCATCGAAATTAACTCTATGACTTACTTATATTTTAGAAGAACATTTTGCTGAAGAATTTGAATATTAGTTTTGGGCTTTCTCAAAGCATTTAGCCTTTGAACCATAAACTCAAAAACCTATATAGAAACAAGTTGCACATTAGAATAGCTGGTAGTTCCAAATAAACAAAAACGAACAAAATTGTTCCACACAGAAAAATTCGTAACTAGAAATGAAATGCAATTTCTTATTTTCATGATGCATAAATTTCAGGCAGTTACGCAACTCATAGAAACTTGTGCAACTTTGACATTCCATTAAACAGAAAAAAACTTAGCAGTAACATTCAGTTCCACTCATTGAACTATTTGTTAACCAAATTCAATCCATATTGACACAGAAAAGTGATCTTATTCCTAGCACGGCAACATGTGAGGCCACATAAAAGCTACATGCAATGCTTTTCAAGAAAATTTATGAAAATTGAATCTTTTGGAACAAAGGTTTTAGCCAATTTATGTGATCCTCTAATCAGATTCTGCCCTAGATTGACTGATACCGGAATTCAACCAAACAACAATAGGAAAATCAAATAATATTGCTGAGTTAGAATAAGAAATTAGAACCAATAAATGGAAATAGACAATAGCAACAAATACAAAACACAAATTCAAACTAGGATTCAATCCTGGAGTGGTGGTGGTCGGCTAGGAGGAATGAAAGGTGGGGGCAGGGAGGGGCTAAAATGGTTGAATGGGGTGTTAGAGGATGGCTGTTGCAACAGGAAGGAGGTTTTGGGCAGCTGTTTTGGGGACGACAGAAAGTGTAGGGTGATTGGGAGAGCCGGAGAACAACAGGCTTGCTGTATTCTGGATGGCGGCAGTGAGGGGAAGGTGTTCCGGCAAGGGGCAGCAGGCTGGAATGAGGGAAGAAGGATGGCTGGGCAGGTGGACTGCAGGAAAGACAGCAAGGCTGTTGTCCCGGGCAGCTGTAGCAGCGAAAGATGACGGCGACAATGGAGGGAGGGGGAGCAACAAAAGGAAGGAGAGGGTAGAGGAAGAATAATTCACCACCTCGAGAGTGAGATTCAACGGGAGTATCACTCAAACTCTTGGATAGAGTCTCAGAAAGGAAAAGAAGAGACGTCAGCGACTGTCCCAAACAAGCACACGCAAAAACTAACACTAAAACATCACAAAAGAGAATATACGGTAATAGGATAACTAAGAGTGGCCCCACTCTCTTGGTTGGCAATTTCAAGGCTAGGAGGGCTAATCGGTACTTCCAAAATTCGGACCAAATAGGTCCAGATCAAGGGTCACGCATTTGTTGCAGCATCATTGACGCCCCGCATCAGTTTCCCAAGGTTGGGAAATTTTGACCTCATTCATCGAAATTTCTATCTCCTTATAGCACGAAGTCAGGCCAACCTCGTTGAAGGTAGCAAAAATGTCGTAATCTCCCAGATTCTTCGATTGTGCCTCTAGGATAACCCAAATCCCACTGTCGGATGCACTTGTAAGACTCAAAATCTTACATTTTCCTCCCACTATCATGCGATTATTTTCTTTCCTTCTTTGTTGTTGCCTTTCTGATTTAAACTATCGCGATCTTTTTTTTTCCTTCTTCCTGCTGTCCCCTGTTGCCTTCCCAATTTGATCAAACCACCGCCTCACTATGATATAAAAGAGGGTTAGGACATCATGACATCACCTCACCTCACTCAAGCTTTGTCGATCCAATCTCCCTCCTCCCTCTCTCCTGATTTCGCCACAACCATCGGCTTTATGGACGAACCTTAGTGACACCCTAGCGATTAGAGCTTATCGACAATGCAACGGTGGGACTGTAGGCGTGCAGTGCCCACCAAAACTTACCTCCTCCTTTCACCTGCTCCAACTTGAAAATACTGAGGAAGGTAACCTCGCCTTTCTCCTCCTTTCTCCCAACCCGCTTGCATACGCTTCAGCTTCTCTAAGTCAAACAAATCCATCTTTCTAGGGGAATTGACTAAATCCTAATTTTAAGGCAAAATGAAGGAAAAATGGGATTTTTGCGATTCAAAGATGTCTTTACTAGTTATTAGATTTTAACAAAATATTATTTTAATTAGGTTAATTAAAGAAAAGTTATTTTAAATATTTTATAATAATGATAATAATAAATGATGATTAGTTTGAACTTAAATTAGTAAAAAAATAAGTGTAATTGTATAATTTTTATTTTTCTAAATGGTATACGATCCATAACTAAACTGTCAAATTCTTGGAAGCATCGCGTTTGTCGCCTATACTTACGTAATTGATTTTTATTAGAGGATAAATCCTATTTAAGGAGGTTAATCATTGTTATTTGTAGTAGAATCAGAATTATTTCATAAGATTGTCAATCATGCCCTTATCACTTCAATTATAATTTTTTGCTTGTTATACGCTTCAATTACCGTCTTTACTCTATTGTTGCAAAACTCCCGGTCAATCATGCCCTTATCACTTCAATTATAATTTTTCGCTTGTTATACGCTTCAATTATTGTTCATGATGAAAGCAACGTCTTTACTCTATTGTTGCAAAACTCCCGAATATGTGAATAAATCTTGCAGTTATGATATTTTCCATTCATACATTTCACTTTATGGAATTTCATGTGAACTTGTGTCATATCACAGACTTTCGTGAAGTAGTATATTTTTACATGTTATACTTGTGAAAAATTTGACATGCTTGTGTGAAGCCATGTAGATCGATGGAACACTTTTGAATATTGACTAGTCGCGCCGATGGGCCCACAGGAAATCGTGTTTCTTTGAGTTGGTATTGACTTTTTTGGTTTCATGATGTCTGTTAAAATCGACTTTATTAATATTAAATAGAAAACTTAATGATAAAAAAATTGATTAGAAACAATCTCCTGTTTTCTTATGATAAATAAGCATATTTAATGTCTACCACTCTCATGTTGGATTATGTAATAGATTTTTTATAAAGTCCAAGGGAAAATATATTAATAAGGAAGAAAGATACAGAAATGTTGCATGAGATGGCCAAAAAGAAAGCCTAACATGCAAAACAACACACACAAAACTCAAATAAAGCAAAGATACATAAACGAAAAAAAAAACAAAAGCCACAAAAGGGCACAAAGGAGCTAAGGATGTCCCACTTTAGTCCTTCTACCCCTAGTTCGCGGAAATGAGTCGGCTAACAAATTAGTAAGTTGAGTACCATTGCCCGTGGTAACCAAAGTGTCATCCATCAGATTCCTGAGCTCTAGTAAACTAGTTCGCGGAAATGAGTCGGCTAACAAATTAGTAAGTTGAGTACCATTGCCCGTAGTAACCAAAGTGTCATCCATCAGATTCTTGAGCTCAACTAAAGGATGTGTAGACCTGTCATTCCTCATCAGATGATTGACTCATTTGATCAATAGATTCCAAAGGTGGTCGAACAGTTGTAGGTCGTTGCACATCATGATCCCCATAAGCTTGAGTAATACTAACATTTTTCTGAACCTGATGAAACAGTAATGAAACAGTAGAAGTATTTCCACCTGTATTATCGATGATAGGTTCTAAAGCAAGCGGGGTCTGGAGAATCTCTTTTTCCCCCATGATAAGAGATTCCAAAGACGGGGGAGCTACAAGTGGAGGTCTGTATTATCGATGATAGGTTCTAAAGCAAGCGGGGTCTGGAGAATCTCTTTTTCCCCCACGATAGGAGATTCCAAAGACGGGGGAGCTATAAGTGGAGAATCACAACCTCTAGCGGAGCAGTTTGCTTTTTTGTTCTGAGATGTCGGTATAGATTATGGCATTGAGAACTGGAGTGTCCAAACATACGACCGTTCGAACAATACGGCGGAAAAGACTCAATCTCTACCTTCTGCCAATATCCTTGGTTTTGTGTGCTCAACCAGATTTCCTCAGAAGCGGGTGTAGTGATGTCTCTTTCAACAAGTATTCTAGTTTCAGATGGACGGGAAGATTAAAAGTAGGAATATCCACCTTGAGTGGTTTTTCCATAAGCTAAGATAATGAAGTACAATACTTTTTGAGAAAAATAATGAAATTTCAGACCAGGGAAGCGAATCAAAAACCGAATGATTGGTGGTTCCGTCTGTGGGTCAAAATTCGCAGACCATTTCAGAATCTTCATTGTTTTGTTATCAATCCATATTATCCTTCTAGCGAATAAGCGCATGTAATCATCTTCATTACTAATTTGAATGAGAATGTCTCCCATCTAATAGTCCAATTTTTCACTTTCCAACGAGGTGCATAAGTTCAAATTCTTTGTGAATGAGCTCCATTTTGGGATGACCACATAGAAATTTCCTAACCAAATTCAAACGACAGGAGGAAGCAAGTTGCATTATGTAATAGATATATGCATAAGTAATCATCCTATTCGTTTCTCAAACTGCATGTCTCATTCCTCTTGCTTATGCATTAATAAATAGTTGTTATTTACAAAATTTATATTTCAAACAAACTCCTTGATATTTTGCATAATAGGTTCTATTGAGCTGCCAGCAGAGTCGTCTCCACTGGAGCAGACTTTTCAGTTTTAGATTTATTTTCTTGATATGTTCCTCAATATTTACTTAAGTTATTGAAGTTTAAATTTTGGGTATGAGTAATCGTTTCTTGTTATCATTTCAATTTTATTCCGGTCAGCTTTCTTTCCATTCAATTGTATCAGTGAACTATTCATTAATAATAAAATTTACATTTTCTTATTTATTTGAATGCAAATCTTTCATCGGAAATATAAAACAAATTCAATCCATTTCACTATGTCTGGCGTTGTCGGGTTGTATCGTCTTCCGGACCCAATGTGTGATAGCACTATCCCCCAAAATTTATAATCACCAATTAAAGGGATTATAATGCATTAGGTCTGTTTCTAGGGTGGGACACCAAATCAACATATCTTAACCGATTAACCAATTTCTTGATGCTAGAGTTTATCCTAAAGAATACCACTTCCTCATGAATTTATCTTGCATCGGGAACTTTTGGCTCAACTTTTATTACCTATCCCATTAGGTACTGCAGATTTTTTGGTTTATCACATTCATGCATTTACAATTCATGAGATTGTATTGATCCTATTGAAGAGTTTTTTATTTTTTCGTAGTTCCCGTTTGATATCTGTTAAACCAAATCTTGGTTTTCATTTCCCTTGTGATGGATCAAGTTAGGGGGTACATTTCAACTATCTGCCTGACAATTCATGAGATTGTATTGATCCTATTGAAGAGTGTTTTATTTTTTCGTAGTTCCCGTTTGATATCTGATAAAGAAAATCTTGGTTTTCGTTTCCCTTGTGATGAATCAAGTTAGGGGGTACATTTCAACTATCTGCCTGGGATCATGTATTCTTAGGTCTATTCCGAATGTATAAAGCAATTTCGGTCGATGTGAACTATTTAAAATGTTTCGAATAAAGTGTAACCATCTCTTTGTCCAACTGCTGTGGGTGTCTCACGAAGCTGAACTGAAAATTTGTACCATGTGTACTCTGTAGAGTTTTCCAAAGGTAGTCCAAGGTTGACTCATCTCTCTCCAAAGTGAAGACAAACTAAACCTTCCTTAATGGTGGTGAAATCTAGTGGAAAGTTGTTGGTCAGGATATTATGCAAATCTCGCTGTAGTGGCTTCCTTGTGTCTGACATCAGCTCTTCCATCTCGCTACCCTCTATCAGCACCAAAACTGATCGCACTGTCGCCTCTCTGATGGCAAGAGCACGTACAACCGTGGATTCCGCAGAAGGTAGGAGAAGTATGGTTTTCATTCTTCGTAAATGAGAGGTGTTCTTGATCCCATCATGCAGAGTCCAGCAATCAAACTGTCACTGTCTCCCCAACAAAATATGACATGCATTCATGGGCCCAATTTTACACCGTACCTGATCATGCAGTTGCTTCCTAGTAAAAAACTTCATGAGGCATCTCTTGACAATGTTACAATGTTCTTCTTTGGCCATATCATAAAATATGGCCAGGAATGCCTCTCAATAGTGAAACTCAACATGCCCACCATTTGTGTAGACTCCACGTTCTTGCTACTACCTCAAACGATGATAAAACTGCATACTTTTTTCCCTTCACAATGCAATATATATGAAAGATAATTAAAGCCACTATTGCTCCCTCGCTGCCTCAATCTGGAAGACCTGTAGAACCACAAGTATCTAACCCGCATCAGCTGAAAGCTAGTACTCCTTACACTACTCTTAAGCTGCCTCTTCTCTCACTTCCTCCACTACACCCGACTCAATGAATCAAACAACTCTAATGGTAGGGCAACTGGAGGTGACGTGTAAATAACCTAAAGCATTTCTCAGGTGGAACTGTGTTGAGTGTGCTACTCTTCTTAGGCTTTTTTATGCTCTGATCAGCAATGTCGGTCTCCGAACCAGTCTTCAAAACTCTCTCAGGTGTGCTCAAGTTGATGCCTCCAGCTGTGTGTGGATGTTTGAATGGAGGTATGTGTCTGTTTTGCTTCTGTTGTCTCTCCACCTTCAGTGCCAACTATGATCATCACCCAACAACCAATAAAGCTATAGTTGGAAAACATTATCGATGAAGAGTTTCAAGCCTCCCAATTATATAGCTATCATGAGCTTCTCTAGCTCTATCAGCTCAGATTACAACTTAAGGTTCTCAAATTTTATTGTGAACTCCACTGGCAACACCCCCTAATATAGATGATGTAGCCTCAAGAACATATCCTGGCACTAGTGCGGAGGTGCGTACGTCCTCTGCATCTCCTTCATCTTCTCCCAAGTGATGATCTTGCTCCAACCTTCCTTGTCCATCTCTTCATATTTTCCCACCACAAAGACAATCTTCTTAAACTTTATGACAACAAGCTTCACTCTCCTATCAGCTAGCACGTCATTGAACTCAAAGATCCTCTCAACTACCTGCAACCACCCAATTGAGTCATATGAATTCAATCTCCCATACGATTTTTCTATCTTCACTCTCAGGTCTTCTTGTCCTCCAGCGGTAACTTCATCCATTAGCATCCTTTGATACCGAAGCCCTAAGATGGGGTCAACACATGTAACATTCTATTTTCAATGTCATGAAGAGAGCAACCATAGCATAAAGTAGGAAAAAATCATGGAGGAATTACAATTAGCAGGCTATAGATGATTGCATCATCATGTTAAGTACAATTAAAACACAAGCCAGAGAGATGCATAACGTGATTGCCACAAAATAAAAGAACCAAAATGATAAATATGACTAATTAAGAACATTTGAGCACAAAAACCAAGCAGGTTTTTCCAATTAGAAAATGCCATGTGCATCCATTTAATTCATATTCATTCAATCTACGAAGCCACCAATTTAAGTGGCAAAGGTTTAAAAATAAATGTACAGACAATGTGCAAGCATATCTCATATTATAACATAATGGTAGAATATAACCAGTACTCACATTCAAAAAATAACATGAACTGGCATCCACTATGCAATTAGAAAACCAGTCATGCGGACAATTAGAAAACTTACGTCTTTAAATCTAGGAAAAAGATGGGAAGTCCATATAAAACGACTTCATTACCTTTAAAACTGCTTTTTGTCTAAGTCTTTCAAGTTCAGGTTGAACATCTTTTAGAGCCTTCGACCCCTTGATCATGGAATCTTCTTCAACAAGTCTAAGCTTCTTGCTTAGTATCTCAAGGTTTCTTAGGTATTCATCATTTACCTGCTAAATCCAACATAAGCATTAAAATCTTCGTAGTGTTAACCTCATCTATGGCTGATTAATAAATACAAAGCAACGAACATCTAACTTAAAATTAACTGAGGCATTTTTCTTTACAATAGCAAGAAAGCCAAAAAAAAAAAAAAGCAAAAAGCCGTGAAGAAGCGAAAATTGGGGATCTCAACTTAAATTAACAGAGACACCAGAAAAGAGTTTTGTGAGTCACGGTCTAACTGATCCGTGCCCCATTGCTCCTTGAGTTGAAAGTTGTGGGTTGAGGACAAAGCTTCAAGAGTAGGAGAAGCTAAAATTGTTGGAGTGTCGTGAAGAAGCTAAAATTGGAGATCTCAACAACATATAAGCAAGCAAGTCATGGTGAGAGCTTGCTAGAGAAGGTACGAAATCTATGGTGGGTGAAGAAGAGGAATCCGCGACAGGCACGACACTCGGCCTCCTTTCGATCTTTTATGAATATCTGAGACCATCGTTGGAAGTAATGATAATAGCTCACTGTCAAAGGGAATGAGACAAAAAAAAGCAACAATGCGTTAAGGAGAAGAAGAGTTGGTGAGACTTGTGGGTTTGCTTGGTGTCTGAATTTACTAAGGTTGTCATTTATGTTGTATGGTTAAAACGTACAAATTCCACTACCAAGCAATCCTCTCTCTCAACCAATTATTCTCCTTCTATCTTCATTCTCTCCATCCATGTAACTCTCTCTCAGATTTACTCCTTCATTATTTATCCCTTTCTCTATCCATGACCCTCTATGTCATCCCTTCCGTTCTCTAACTCCCTCTTTCACTTTTCTACTTCTATTTCTCTCTCTAACTCTCCACCCTCTCCCTCTCTAAACAACCACATCTCCCACAATGTCCCTCATTCTCTACCTATAAAAAATTTAAAACGAACTTCTACAAAAAGAAAAAGATCGATTAAAGAAAAGAGAAGAATATGAATAAAAAGAACAAAAAAATGGCAAGAAAGCAAAATAAAAAATAAAAAGATAATTGTGTATTCTTCCAGCCACAATATCATGGTGAAGAAAAACAACTCTTTCTCTTATTATTCAATTGAAAACATATGCTACACAGTTATACACACTTTAATCTCTATAGTTCAGGAATATCTCTAATAGAGGAAAGATCCTGCAATTAAACCTCCTCTAAAAAGATTACCTAATATAGAAAATATCTTTATTAGATTTCTTATAATCAAGCTATCTATAATCAAACTTTCTAAAACCATTAGATTTATTACTTCCCATAAAACAAACTTCTACAAAAATAAAAAGAACAATTAAAAAAAAGAGAAGAATACGAATAAAAAGAGCAAAAAATGGCAAGAAAGCAAAATAAAAAAATAAAAAGATAATTGTGTATTCTTCCGACCACAATATAAGGAAAACAACTCTTTCTCTTATTACTCAATTGAAAACATATGCTACATAGTTATATACACTGTAATCTCTATAGTTTAGGAATATTTCTCATAGAGGAAAGATCCTGCAATTAAACCTCCTCTAAACAGATTACCTAATATAGAAAATACCTTTATTAGATTTCTTATAGTCAAGCTATCTATAATCAAACTTCCTAATATACAACCATTAGATTTATTACTTTCCATAACACTCCCCCTCAAACTTGAGCATAGATATTTATCATGCTTCATTTGTTACAAAAATAAATGACTCTAGCTTTATTAAAGACCTTTTCGAAGATGCCTCCTAGTCATTTCTCAGTTTTTACATAAGTTGTAGAAATTAAATCTTGTTGAATCTTATTCACGAACAAAATAACAATCTATCTCAATATGCTCATGAAAGATAGGGTTTGAAACAATATGAAATGTGGCACCACAATTTATAGGAACTGTCATCTTAAAACCCATCTCGGTCAAGAATTGAGAGACCCACATTAATTAATTTGAAGCTTGTGTGATTGCTCAATTCTCAGATTCTGCATTGGATCGTCACACTATATTATAAAATATCTTGTCCAGAAGCACCTTTGGTAACATAGTGAATGTTTCAATATCGTAGTGCTAACTAAATAAGCAATATCATAGCGAGTCAATATGAGATTGTTTAATTGACTTCATGCTCGGTAAGTAATTGATTATGAAGCGTCGAAGTGCAGCATAATTTAACCCCTAATTTCTCAGTGTTTACTAACAAATTCAAATAATACTTCCGTTGAGATAGAAAGTTACCCATTTTGCTTCTCGATACATCAATCCCCAAGAACTATTTGAAGGAACCCGAATCTTTAATGTTGATCGGATTTGAAGAAATGATTTCAATGACAATATTTCCAACACATCGCTTCTATTAATAATAATATCATCAACATAAGCCACCAACAAAATGATCCAAGACGCAGACTGTTTGTAGGATACATTGTAATCACTTCTACTTTTGTGTATCACAAACTCTATGTTGCTTGGCAAAATTTTCAAAACCATGCCGGAGGACATTGTTCAATCCATATAATGACTTCCGAAGACAGCGTACTTTCCCAGACTCCTGAGTAACAAACTCAGGAGATTGCTCTACGTATATCTTTTCAAAAAATCACCATGCAAAAAGGCAATCTTCACATCAAACTGGTGCAGGGGTCAATTTTTCATTACGGCCAAGGGTAAAAATGGGCGAACCAAAGTTAACTTAGCTCCTAGAGAGAACGTGTCCAAATAGTTATTCCATAAGCTTAAGCATAGCCCTTAACAACTAATCGAGCTTTGAGACAAGCTACAGATCCATCAAAATGAAACTTAGCTGCAAAAACTCATTTACAGTTAAGAGCCTTTTTGTCATAATGCAGTTCAACTAGTCCCAAATTTCATTTTCATTTAAGGCATTCATTTCATCAAACATCTTTACCCGTCATCCATAAGGGCTTGCTGAATAGATCCCGGGATCTCAACGAAGTTAAGAAAAGCAATAAAATGACAAGTACAAGATAACTTATTATAAGGAGTATCCACAGAAGGAGATGATACCTATGTCGGACTAGGATCGGGAGGAAGAGGTCTTCCGGGTTAAAGGTTAGTGAGAGGTGGTCTAGGCTTAGGCATCGGTAGTGGAGGTGGAGCTATAGTAAGATTAAACTGATGACATTATACATTAACAACTCATCAGAATTTTTTGAGGACTTAAGAAATGATAAGTCAATAAAGAATGGAGCTTATTCATGAAAGGTGACATCAACAAAAATCATGTACTTATTTAAGAGAGTAAAAACAATTATAGCTTCTTTTTGCAAACAAGAGTATCCTAGAAAGAAGCGCCTTAATGACTTCAGGTTCAGTTTAGAAACATGCGGACAAGTATCACGAACAAAACAAGTACACCCAAATATGTATGGTTCAATAGGGCAGAGAGAGTTAGTAGAAAATTAAATATGGTAGGGTACTTGGTTCTGTAAAACAGTAGAAGGCCTCTGATTGACCAAAAAAACATGTAGCAGAAAGTGCATCGACCAATAATTATTTGGGCACATTAGAATGAAAAAAAAAAACTCTACTTTCAGCTGCTCTATTTTGAGATGGAGTATAATGGTAAAGCATCCTGCTTTGTGTAATGTATGTCTGAAAACATGCAAAAAAATATTCTTTGGGAATGTTATTTCCCATAATCATAACTAAAATATTAACCTGAGCTTTAATTTTAGCACAAAAGTATTCAAAATGTGATAGTAACTTAAGTTTTCATAAAGTAAAGCCGAATCATACAAGAGAGATCATCCAAAGATGTGACAAAATATTAAAATTCATTACACAAAAAAGAGCAAAGTCCCCAAACATTGAAATAAACAAACTCAAAACTATGATTAAATCTTTTATTAACTCTGGAAACATAAGAAAAATGATGATGTTTAGCAAATTGTCATAACTCATTATTTAAAGATGATTATTGTTGAAGCTGGGGGAATAACTAACTGAAGGCATAACATTTTTAACATTGGTAGTTAAAAATTTTTGGAAAATAAAAATCTCTAATTTCTCATTAAAAAAAATAAGTAATATATAGA